GGGGGGGAGGAGGGGGGGGAGAGAAGAGGAGGAGAGCTGTCATTTCCTGGGACTGGCCCTTGTAGCCATTCTAGATGACTTCTAGCTTCGTTTTGGCCCCTTCATGTGACATCAGGGAGTAGAAATAATGGTACTGGCCTTTTACTCATTGTTTGACCAGCTGCCACTATACTGTTAGTATGTTTACTTGAAGAACTTTGTATGGACCTTTGGTTTTTATAGAACTTCCTTAATACGTATCTGATCTATGCCAACTAACCTTCACTTTATGATTATCATTATTCTTTGATATTATTTAGGTGAGAGAGTCCAACACATACCATTAATGGCTCCAATATGTGGTTAATATTTTCTTTATCTTGTGCAGGAGGGTTTATGTTATTTGTGTTAGGTTTATAACAGCAGGTAACTATTATATCATATTGATATTTTTGAGTTTTTGTGGGGACATTTTCTGCTCCTAAGAGGTCTCCTAATAGCAAGGAGACTATAAAGGCAGAAAAATCAGTTAACATCAACTTATGATTATTAGTTCTGTAACACAAAATGGGACCTGAAATAAGGAGATATTTCTCTTTCCTTGAATGCCCTTTCACATTCACCTTTGAGAGTAAGTATCCATAAAGATACTGAATTTGCCAATAAAATCATTAGTGCCTATTTTGTGACATCTGCATCCATTTTTTTTTTTTAAATACAAAAAGTCTTCAGAACAGTGTTATTGCTATAGGGAGTTTAGAAATCCTATTGGACTCTTTTGAAGAAAAGATCTTGGACTTGTTATCTTAAGGAGGAAAGTTTCTGAAATACTGTAAGCTGTAGAAACTAAGCAGGTTAGTCCCGAGATACTTGTCATGTATTAATTAAATACGATGTGAGCTAACAAGATGGATAGTCTACCCAGTTCCTTGCAGTGGAAGGTATTTCTTCCTAGGAATATACAACTGCTTGGAATTCTCTGTAGTTTGCAAATCATACTGAACAGTTGTCAGATTTCTGCATAATGCATTTCAGTCAAGGCTGGAGGAGTAGGAGGCTCATTTGTAACTATTTTACAGAAGAGGAAATGCTTTCCTGACAAGAGTCAAGCATTAAGTGGAAGTCTTTGCTTGTATAGTGTTATATTAAAATGCATATCAAAACACACACGTGTTTCTTTTAGAAAAGTAAAGTAACACTGGATCCTTCAGCAAAAGTATTGGTCCACCTAAAAGCTTTGATGAGGATAATTTTTTTTCTTAATTAATTCTAAGAATATCCAAGTTTGACACCAGATTTTACAAATACATAGCAAGAACTGAACCTTTGACAATTTACTTTATTACGTAGGCACTACATTTCAATTAATTTCTTTTGCATATAGAAAAACAGTAAACCTGAACATGCATTGATATTTAATCAAGTCTTCACTTTTCAACTCTTTGCAACTGTTCACTTTCCCCATTATCAGAGAAGAAATTCCAACTCCCCCACCATTTAGCATTGGCAATCTTGATACAAGGATCAAGATTGCCAGTGCTACTTTTATTAATTTGAATGTTCCAACTGACAAGCGAAGAGGATTTATATTTGGTTGAGATGGGTAAAATAACAGGGGTGAGAAACTACTATGTTTTGCTGCCTGAAACTTCAAAGAACCAAGTGCATGTACAGGTAGGTAATCAATATGCAGTGAATATGCTCTCCTTTCTAAAGCAAAGCTTACTTCAAAGGATATTCCTTCAACAAAGATTCCTTGAATATTCATTATATGCGATTTCAGAGCAATTAATAAAACACAACTCTGTATACAAAGGTTAATATTCATTAAAAAAAAAAAAAAAAATCCACATTCTCTCATTGAGCATGGCAGCAATCAGAAGTTGTTACATGTAACTAAGTTGCTGAAATGGAAGTTTCTGAACAGAGGAATGGATACAGGACTATAAGAGTGCAATTCTACTGACTAGTAGAGTTTTAACACTTTTTCCAGCTGTAAATTTGACTCCAAGCTGATTAAATTTATCTAACTGGGGGGGGAAAAAAGTCAAACTAAGAATATGGAGCAAGAGGGGGGGAGGGGAGGGGGAGGAAGGGAACAGATTATAACGGTTTCTGTTTTCCTATTTGTTAATATTCTCTATCCAGACAATATAAGATCATATATTTACATAAATCCAGGCACCATGCTAACTAGGTTTTTTTATATAAAAACAAAAAAAACCCCCAAAAAAACTACAACGTGGAAAAATAAAGGTATTCTTTTCAGTGGTCCTAGAGTGTTTGCCGAGTATTATGTGCTATATGTAATTAACAAAATAAATACACATGCTGTACCCATGACTGCACTGGAACTGGGAAGAATAAGTCCTATCCTGCTGATGTAATTGGATTTCCACAGCAAAAGGAACTCTAGACTTCTTCTCATTTCACACATTCCTATTTTCGTTGTTTCCGCTTTAATCCCATCATCTTTCTGTCATGGTTGACCCTACCCTTCCTAGTCACCATAAAGGCTTGTTGGAAAAACTAAGGGGAAGAAATTGCAAATCTTCCATACCATAAAAGCATTCATGGTAGTAAGCACCAAAAAGGAGCAGGGAGGAGTGCATTTTAATGCTTAACTAATATTTCACCCCCAAAACAGAGGGAAATGATAAGAAGTCATATACTAAAACCAGAAAAACAGAACGTGGCATGTTCATTTGTCCAAATTTCATCATTCACCCATAAAAGAATATTGGAAGTGTTCTAGTATATAGATATTATCATCAGAAATGGACTACTGTGCCATGAAACTCATGTAATGTATAATCAGAATGTGCAGTTCTATACCAAATGTACTGCCAAATGACTGATTTTCTTGAAAGAGATTTTTGCTTCATTTTAGCAATAAATTTAGTTGGCATATAGCTTGTATGTTCACTTCAAATTGTCAAGTATGCTAGCTAAAGATTAATACAATCTCATGCTGGCAGTTGATTGCAGAAAGTTGATGGTTACTTTCTATTATCTTTTTAGTGGTAAGCAATTAGGAAAACAAGTGTAAAAAAAAAAAAAAAAAAAATTATATTTATATTCCCTGAGGTAGAAGACCAAAATAGCTAGAACCCTGGTGCCACATTTCCAGGCCCCACGTGGCTGGATTGGCCTCAGTGATGTAGTGTCAGTGGGCAAAAACCATCACACCACAACTACATTGCCATAGCAATGTGTTCCCTCATTATAGCACATTGCTATACTGACACAGTGGGTAAAAAAAAAACAACAAACAAACAAACTAACTGTGTGCTGTCAGCACAGCACAGTAATAGCTGTTACTTCGCCATCATTTAGTACTTTCTAAAGGAAACCATGAATGATGGCACAGTAACAACCGCACCATAGGGGCACACGTAGACGTGCCCCGTTTGTACTACAAATTCTTTTCCCATGTCCAGGGAGCATAGGACTGGGTTGCACAGCAAGTGTTTTCTCTCTCTCCAAATGCATTTGTACACTCCAGTGACCACTGCACCCATTGTGGGGGCCCCCTTTCTCAGGAGATCAATTAGGAGGGCTATGAGGACTGCCTACTGGGGGATAAACTGCAGATAATAGC